AGATGTATTTATTTCCTAATGAGGATGGAAATGGTCCCATAAAATCGATGCCCCAAACATTGAAAAGTTATACTTCCTGAATGTTCCTCAAGAGCATTTCGTCACGCCAGGAGACGTTCCCAGTGCGCTGGCACTGGTCACATTTGAATATATAAACATGCACATCACGCCACATTGTGGGCCAAAAAAGGCCAGATCGAAGAATTTTAGCGTGTATCTTAGAGGTGCTAGCGTGTCCTCCGTAGGGTGCAGAGTGGCAGTGTTCTATGATATTTCTTACTTCTTCTTCTAGGACGCAACGATGAAAAATACCGTCTATACCTCTTTTGAAAAGAACAGGCTCGTCCCAATAAAATTGTCTTATATCGTTAAAGAACTTCTTTCTGTGTTGATAGTTAAGGTCAGGGGGTATGATATCAGCGACTAGGTAATTGACAAAATCTGCGTACGAAGGTACGCTACTCACTGCCAGAGATTTTTCAAGGTTCTTATAAGGATCTAGGTTATTATCTTTGATGGCTTCTATCTTAGCTATTAACCTGTCATAGATAAAATCATCATTTATAGGTAGTAAATCTGGTTTCAGGTACTCAAGTCTAGAAAGGTGATCAACAACTACATTTTCTGTTCCTTTCTTGTCTCGAATATCTAGATCAAACTCTTGTAGTAAAAGGATCCATTGCAGTAACCTAGGTTTTGCATCTTTCTTGTTTAATAAGTAATGAATGGTAGTGTGATCTGTGTAAACTATAATTTTAGCTCCTACCAGATAGGATCGAAATTTGTCCATAGCAAAAACTATGGCAAGGAGTTCTTTTTCAGTGGTTGCGTAGTTAAGCTGAGCAACATCTAGGGTTCTAATAGCATAATAAATAACATGTAATTTCTTATCCTTTCTTTGTCCTAGAAAAACTCCTACAGTGTAATCTCTAGCGTCGCACATGATTTCGAAAGGTTTGGCCCAATCTGGGGGTTGCATAATGGGTGTTGAGATTAGCACTTGTTTTAAGAGGTCGAATGCTTCAAGGAATTTTTGATCAAAATTAAACTCGATATCTTTTATCAGGAGGCCAGTTAAAGGTTTGGTTATTTTAGAGAAGTCTTTGATAAAACACCAGTAGAAACCAGCTGTCCAAGAAAACTTCGGACTTCTCTAACGGTTTTAGGGGTTTTTAGGTTTTCTATTACCTCTATCTTGGCTCTATCTACTTCAATACCCCTCTCAGAAACTACATGTCCTAAAACTATACCTTCGGTGACCATAAAGTGACATTTCTCCCAGTTTAGAACCAGGTTTACATCAACACACCTTTTTAGGATTTTCTCAAGGTTAACGAGACAGTTTTTGAAATCAAATCTGCATACTGAGAAACCATCCATGAATACTTCCATAATTCCATCAAGGTAGTCAGCGAAGATTGCCATCATGCAACGCTGAAAGGTAGCTGGTGCATTACAGAGACCGAAAGACATTCGTCTATAGACAAAAGGTTCCATAAGGGCATGTAAAGGTAGTTTTTTCTTGATCCTCTGGGTGGATAGGAATTTGGAAAAATCCCGAATATCCATCAAGATAACAAAAATAGGAGTGTCTGGCTAAACGTTCCAGCATTTGTTCTATAAATGGTAAAGGGAAATGGTCCTTCCTAGTTGCTTTGTTTAATTTTCTATAATCTATGCACATACGTCATCCTCCTTCTATCCGTTTTGCTACATGTTCCCCTTTCTCATTCTACACGACTGTGATGCCTCCCTTTTTAGGTACTACATGCACAGGGCTCACCCACTTACACTACAAGAAAATTGGCAACGTTATTTTCATGACGGGTAGCTAACTGTCATAATCTCCATATTGTGACGGTTCCCTACCGTCTTAACTTGCTTAATGATTTTTGTTTTCATTGTTGATTGTAAAACTATATTGCGGCGGTTTGAACCGCCGCAAGTTGCAGATATATTTTTTTAAATCTATGGTATATTGTGGCGGTTTGAACCGCCGCAAGTTGCAAATCTTTTTTTAAAAAAAACTGCACTCGGTTTAGGATTCATAATACAGCTATTGTAGGTTACATTAATGGCAGTCATCAATATTTATGATATTCACACAATAAACACAAACATTAAAAAGTTTTCAATCATTAACCTTGCATTCTCTAATTGTTTAACCATATCACATATAACATGTATACAATATCCAATCGCATACACAATAATTCAAACATATAGCACAAGATTTCCCATACATTAGAATAAATGCAACGACGCTTAAACCATAACTTCATGCATCTCAATGTCATACGAAAGTTCTCCAGTTCAAAAATGGAAATATAACTAATTATAGGAAGCCAGAAGTCACGTCAAAGCTAAACATAAAAATGCTATCTTTGTCTACGAAATTTATATCAAATACCTGAACATTTGGAACCAAATTCAAGATTTGATCAGTCACTCTACAACCATTGAGATTGCGAACAGACTGTTCATCTGCATTTTGCAATATCGATTCCTGTGATAAATCCAAGTTCTATCCAACAACAAACCAGTATTACCAGTGGTAAATAAAACTGTAAAATATAATTAAACTTTAAACTAGTTTCAAGCAGAATGCAGATGAAGGCAGGTGTATTTGACACATCAAAAAGTCTTCCACAAATCACTTACTTCAGGAATAACCCACAAAGATAAATTTGCATAAAGGAGATCCATTGAGACACCGTTGAACTTGAAACCCACCACTGGAGCATGAGCCTCAAGCACTGGGCGCAACTCTATCACTTCTGGCATCTTAGATAGCATTTTATGTAGCTCACTAAAAAAATCTTCCTAAAGCCAATTCAAATAATAATTTTAGCTAGTAGAAGTTATGACCCGAAAAACCCATATCTACATTAAAAAATGGCAAGAATCATCACATCTCTGGTTGCGTGTCTAGGTCCCACACAAAGAACATTAATATCTGCTTCAGGGCCATGCACCTACCAATTTTGAAATAAAAATGGAAATATAATAAAACCAACAGAATAAATTATTGAAAAGTACATTACATTTGACCTGAAAAGTTATAAATAGAAAATAATTGATCTATTGGAACGGTAAGCCATATGACAATGCCATCCTAATCATCTCATTCCTGAATTCTCTGATCATAAAATAGCCCAAGCTTGACGTGTAACATGCAATGCGAAGATAAAAAGTGTAAGTAACTTTGAGGAAGCATGCATACAAGAAACAAATTCCAACTCGCATGGATTGACATCAAACTATATGTATCCAAACTTCTTCACCAGGAATTTTGTTACGAATTATAACTAGGATATAAAAACCAGGAGGTGCATATAATAACATATTCACAATGGATTAAATGTTACTCATAATCAATAGGAGCTCGACAAACGGCGGGAGCATAACCAAAGAAAACCTATCTATTTTCAGGATCAATCACATGATAAGGAAAATGACCAATTGCAAAAGCTTGGTGTAACACATACCCATCTTAGAATTAAACTTAATGTATTTGAATTAAAACCTAGTTAAGAGGGAGTCTACATGAGCATGTCTATAATATTTTATCAAAGGCACTGTTAAACATTAAAATTCCAATTCACAAAGCTAGCATCACCAGTGTTAAAGCTAAGATAGATGATAACCTCACCTCCAAACACATAGGGAAGTAAATCCTTGATTTACAAACTCACTCCTACAGCAACAGCAAACCACAAAAAATGGAATAACAAGTCAATATTCCTCCCCGCGTGTATTCATTCATTCATTTTTCATGATTATAAAATACATTAATTCAACTTTTATATCAATTTGCTTCATTTTGAATAACAGGTTATGTTTATTAACTACTCTTTTGAATTTAAGTGGTTCATGAGTGTCCATTATTAACGGATAGTATGGGTTTAAATCTTGACTAAAACAACTTATTTATTATATTTTATTTCTTTCATTGATCCAACTCTAAGTTTTCACAACTTTTTTCCCTTTAAAGCTCTAAAACATAATTACCTCTAAATTAATGAAATTTCAACCATGAAACAGAAGTACATAACACTATAAGAATGAACATTCAAGTACAATAATTCAATTTAAAATTCCATCTTTGCAAACACCACTCCCAATTATTATGTAGACAGGAATGTATCAAATCATATTGTACTTTAAGAACATTTGGAAATAAAACTCTGATCGATTATTGCAAAGCAATAAAGTCACTTATCTTTTGATGTTGGTATCGATGATACGATCCTCTCATTGCTCGTGTTCGATTATGCATAAGGCGGGGAGGTTCGTTGAGACGGCAGAGGCGACTTCTAATCTCCATACAAAACCAGAATCATGAATTTTCTTTGATTTTCAGCGAAGGCGGCGCTTTTCTCCTTCGAATCAGCAGCGCGGTCACCCGAAATAAGACCTGAACTAGTTCCTTGTCACCATATACACAACTTCATCACCGCTTAAGTTTTCCACTTTCCAGTGCATCATACCTCATTATCTCAACAACTGTATTAGAACCAATTCAAAATATAATATAATTCAAGAAAAAAAACCTAATAAATTAAAATTAAATACTAACAAGAACACAAAAGAGATTTAGGGTTATAACCTTAAACCTATAATCACATATAATCTTTGCGTAAAATGAAAATTGTGGCTCATTACAATAGAACACATGACAAAAGAGTCGGAGATCCATTCAGTATGCAATGATTCTAGGATCTGATAATCATTGCTCACCTTTGTTAAACACCTTCTTGCTAAGGAATCTAGCTCTATCTTGCAATTCCAACTCCGATAACAACTTCAAAAAGTTTAGAACCATCCTTCTCAACCACTCCAAGTTTAGAAACAGTCGACCAAATTTTACCCCCAATACTTTTTCTAGTCTCTGAAGACGTTGTTCACATGGAAGAATGAACTCTCTTTCAGTAGCTGCTTCAATAGCTTCTGAATGGTTATTAATGTCACGTTCCGTGAAATTTGATGGGTGAAAAACATTAGGTGTTCCAAAATTCAAATCTTAGGCTGAATACGAACCCAACAAGTCTTTCAATGAAGGATGCCAGCGCTTGTGGCACATATAAGAAATTTATTTTAGCTAATTTTTCCTTAATAACGCTTAACAAATTGCTGACCAAAGCACCTGAAAAATAAAAGTAATCATATTGAAATACTTGTCAATATTTTCAACATCCACGTCCAAATATACCAAGGTATATGCACAACTTAAACTTTACATGGAACATATTAAAGGAACTTATAAATATAATTGGTTCAATACCTTCTGAATTTGTCCTATAAACAACATTTTCGGTATCATTAATTTGAAATGAATGCACTCGAATAAGGTGAAGTTGGTCATTTTCAATCACATTCTGAGTCGATAGAGCACTATCATCACAGTTGTAGTAGCCATTGGCATCTGGTGCTCTTACCTGCATATGACAGAGTAATTAGGTATGATTAAAAGTTTAAGACAATCGCCTAAAATGTACATGGAGGATGTTAAGATGACAATGAGGATTGTAAAATAAGTATGAGGATATTTTGAAACTCACTTCTTCATAAATTGGCGTTAAATGAGGATAATTACTACTCTGTTGTCTGGTAGGAGATGAGTAATCATTAAAATCAGACCCTGATTCTACTGTAGACGAGCCACTGCATCGCTCCTGGAGGATGAGGAAGAAGTTAGTAAAACCCTACAATTGTTAGGAACGTGTGTACCAACCATAAATAGTAAACGCTTGTGATATCCCATGTTTTTTATGCCCAAAAGACAGAAACTTGCCTTCAGTGATTGCAACTGAAAGGAGTCCAAATTGTGCTGTTCATTGGACGCCCTGGTGATTTGCCTCACAAAAGTTCCCTCTGTGTTACATACCAGCTAAAATCAGAATATCTATATCAGTTTGACAAGGCATTTCTAAGCCATATATATTTTCAAAAGCATGCACAAGTAAGAAGAGTATATCAGATGGAGAGGAGTCAAACATCTAGAGGTAGAGGAAAACCTATAAAAAACTATAAGAGAAGTTATTAAGAAAGATCTCAAGATTATTGATTTAGATAGCTGCAGGTTCTGAATAGAACATTATGGCGAGAGTTCATCCATGTAGCCAACCCCACTTAGTGGGATAAGGCTTGATTGTTGTTGTTGTTGTTATGCACAACTAAGAACTAAGAAGCAAGGTAGCAAAGAAACATTACCTTCATGATATTATGATCATTCCATGGACCCTTGTTAGTCCTAAGACATCCACCATCGCGGGAACATGTACATGAACCACCGAGAAAGTATGGCAATTGACTGATAATTCATTTGCACACACCAAATACATCAATTAGATAAATAGAAATTGCAATGCAGCATGGTGAAGCCACAGAGGCATATACCTAGAGTCGATGACTTCCTGTAATTTATATAGAGACTTAGATTCAAGAATCTGAAAATTAGGGAAATGAATGTAAGAATCAGCAGCGTTGTAGGAAACAAGCATGTTTAAGATTACTAGTTGATAGTTATATCCTTCACCTATATCTTTGTGGTAGTTTTGGAATCAAGAAATTTCAGTGCAACAGGCCAAACCATCTTCTTAAAGGCAGCACCAACATTTACAATGTACGTTTGATGTAATGTCTGTAAATACATGTGGAGAATTATTTCACAGAAATGAAAAAGGCGGAAAATAAAAGTTACTTAGAGAATGGCGGGATTAAAACCTCAGGATAGTAACAGCTATCTATTTTAGCTATTGAAGATAAGAGATTTGCTGCAGTAGGTGAGAAATTCTTCATTCCCTGCATCACACATTTCAATGGCAGCTAAAATTTCGGCAGAAAAACATTTCGATAACTTGCAAACAAGGAAATCCTTAAAAGTGAGAGACACCAAATAACACCCTCATTGGTCCCTAAATGGATTGGTTTTTAGGAAGATACCATTTTATAGAATCAAAAACATATAACAATCTACTATCAGTAAGAACACAGACTATCAAACACACAGAATAATCAACAAATTACAGTATCAGTGTAATCCAACATACCAAGCCTTGTACATCCAATATTGTTGTTGTCGAAAAAATCTGCCTCTTTGCTGCAATGGAACATGCTGGAAATTTCTCATGCAGAGCCTTCTCGAACTCCTGGACATGGTATCTCAAATATTGATCTATTATGGTGATGCGCATCAAGCGACTTGGATGAGCTTTCCCAAGCCTCTCAATGTAAACTAGCCTACCTTCCTTATCGACTCCGTGGTAACCTTGAGGATAATACTGCAATACTCCTTCCAGCTCTTCAAATTCAAAATCCTTCAAAGGATAATCAGCATATTAGAAGCAAATAAAACATGTATGAGGCGTCTTATGTAAATCCTATTGTCCTTCTGTTATACTGAAACATTCTACAGTCCAAATCAACTATACTTTTCATGGCTATAAAATACATTAATTCAACTTTAATATCAATTTTCTTCATTTTGAATAACAAATTATGTTTATTAACTACTCTTTTGAATCTAAGTGGTTCATGAGTGTCCATTATTAACAGATAATATGGGTTCAAATTCTGACTAAAACAACTTATTTATTATATTTTATTTCTTTCATTGATCCAGCTCTAAGTTTTCACAAATTCTTTCCCTTTAAAGCTCTAAAACATAATTACCTCTAAATTAATGAAATTTCAGCCATGAAACAGAAGTACATAACACTATAAGAGTGAACATTCAAGTACAATAATTCAATTTAAAATTCCACCTTTGCAAACACCAGTCCCAATTACTATGTAGACAGGAATGTATCAAATCATATTATACTTTAAGAACATTTGGAAATAAAACATTGATCGATTATTGCAAAGCAATAAAGTCACTTATCTTTTGATGTTGGTATTGATGATGCGATCCTCTCATTGCTCGTGTTCGATTATGCATAAGGCGGGGAGGTTCGTTGAGATGGAATAGGCGACTTCTAATCTCCATACAAAACCAGAATCATGTATTTTCTTTGATTTTCAGCAAAGGCGGCACTTTTCTCCTTCGAATCAGCAGTGCGGTCACCCGATATAAGACCTGAACCAGTTCCTTGTCACCATATACACAACTTCATCACCGCTTAAGTTTTCCACTTTCCAGCGCATCATACCTCATTATCTCAACAACTGTATTAGAACCAATTTAAAATATAATATAATTCAAGAAAAAAACCTAATAAATTAAAATTAAAATTAAAGCATGGCACTGATCAAGAATTTCAACTGAAAACAAGATTAAACGGCAATCCAACTAAAATACACTACAGAATCAGTTAAAATTCATTTTATAACAAGTGAAAGTTGCAATATGCTTATGGATACGAAAGGAGATAAAAAGAATCGGAGAAATCAAACTCCAGGGTTGGCACTGCAAAGCATACCCTGAGACAAAGATCTCGAACTAGTTGAATCGATTCTGAGGCAAGAAGTGAGGCGCGCTGATGAAATTTCCGAGTACAACGGAAGCAGCAACTGCACGCAACCAAGCTCCGCGACGGACCTGAAAGGAGAAATAACAATGAAAATTAAGATTTCGTTAAATTGTAAGAAATGGAAGAATTGAAGCGAATATGAGGACTTGACGAACGGTGACGGGAGAGTGAGTTCTGAGGAGAAACTGTGAGGAGGATTTGGGTTTTGCGATGGTGGATTTGATTAGGGAGAACGCTGGTTGTGAGAATGATCGGAAATGAGAAGCCATTGGAGAAATTAGCGCCACCTGAATTTTTATAAAGCTAGGGTTTTGAGCTGAATTGGAAGAAACTGAACACAAAGAAAGGGTTTTTCGGAGGTTTTACTTTTTTGTCCTTTTTCAATTTTTATTCTTCACCTTGTTTCTTCTTTAACTTATTATTTCATAATAACAAAAAAAAGAATGGTTTAGTTAAATTAAATTTAGGAAGAAATTGAGGATATATGTTTGTTTTTAGAAGTGTCATAATAAATTTTTTTAATTATTTTATTGAACAAGTATGAGATACTAATTACTACATAAACCTAATCAAATGATAAAAATCACTTTCCTCTAATTAAGAGAACATGTTTTCAAACTAAATCATGTCACGCAATATAGAGAATAGATAATAGTTGAAAGAAGAGGGTAAGAGTGAAACCATGATCCTGGATGAATGTGAATCTCCGACTGCTTAAGAAGAATTCAGCACAGTGTTTCACGGTGGATAAGAAGGAAAAAAGTACTCAAATCAAAATCTATCTGGCTCATTGAAGAGCTTGAGTGAAGGAGAGCTTGAAAATTTCTCTCAACCTTCGTTTCCAACTGTCTCTGTCGAAAAAAATAGTATGCGGTCGATGATGAGGTTGCTTGAAACAAAAATATTAAGCTACATTGTCATGAAAATTATAATAATTATAATAATAATTTTTTAAATTAATTAATAAAATTGAAAAGGTTGGAAAATAAAAATGAAAGAAAAAGTGGAAAATTAAAGGAATAAAAAAAATAATGATTATGATTGGCTAAAATAATTGCGACAGTTTGCCTTAATTGCCGCGAGTGTGGAAAGAGGGCGGTTCTTTGGTAACTGTTGCAATTATTTTATACAACATGCTTAAAAAATCTGCGACGATTGGCTCAAACCGTCGTGAAAACTGTCGTAGTTCAAAAATAAGGACGGTTTTTTAATAACTGTCGCAAAAAATCTACGACAGTTGACCCTAATTGTCGTGACAACCGTCGCAATCCAGGAATAAGGACAGTTTTGTGATAACTGTCGCAACTCAAGTTTCGTAAATCTCCTTTCTTCTTGTAGTGTTACTATCTGAGATTTGATAAATTATACTTGCTTCCAGTAACTTAAGAACTTCCCTTTTTACAACATCACTCATTATGGGGTTTATCCTTCTCTGATGTTCTCTTGAGGGTTTTGAGTCTTCCTCAAGTAAAATCTGGTGCATACACACAGATGGACTTATTCCTTTTAGATCAGAGATATTATAACCTAAGGCTGAGGGATATTTCCGCAAGACATATAAGAGCTGGTATGTTTCTTCTTGGTTCAAGGTAGCACTGACTATAACTGGACGGTTCATTTCCTCGTCCAAGAACTCATATCTTAGATTCTTGGGTAGTTCTTTAAGTTCTAAAGTTGGTTTCTTAGGGCATGATATTGGATTGGGGGTAAGGGATAAACATTCGTGAAGATGATCATCTATGTAGGGTTCCATAAATCCATCATCTTCTCTCATGAAGGTTGAAGGTAGTGTGATGGGTTCTTCTTGATCTAGTTCCCTAACTCACTCATCAATGATGTCTATGGCATAACATGTGTCTCCTAATACTGGTGCCATAAGAAATTTCAAAAAAATGAATTATATCTCTTCATTACCTACCTCAAAATTTAACTTTCCTCTCTTGATATCTATTATGGCTCCTGCGGTTGATAAGAATGGCCTACCTAGGAGGATTAGGATGTCATCATCTTCTTTAATGTCCATGACTATGAAATCAGTAGGGATGAATAACTGACCAATCCTGACTGGGACGTCTTCCAATATGCCAACTGGATACTTGATGGATCTATCGGCTAACTGAAGAGACATCTTAGTAGGTTGTAGCTCTCCTATTTTTAACCTTTCAAATACTGCCAGAGGCATTAGGCTCACACTAGCTCCTAAGTCCAGGAAAGCTTTATTGATGACATGACTCCCCAAAATACAAGGAATGGAGAAATTTCCAAGATCTTTCTCCTTTTTGGAAAGTTTATTTTCAGAAATGGAATTGCATTCCAAAGGTTTTGGATCATCAAGTCTACATTTATTGCTAAGGATGTCTTTGAGGAACTTTTCATAGGATGGTATATGGGTGATGGCTTCTGTGAAAGGGATCTCCACATGAAGTTTCTCTATGACTTTAATGAACTTCTGATGTGGGTGACTATTTGTTATACCTTGGTTCCTAACTGGGTAATCATTTCGTTTACATGAATGTTCTGGTTTAGGAATTCTTTGTTTTGCTGGGTTTGAGCCAAAATGAAATTTTCCATGATCTTCTCAAGGTTCGGCTTGAGCGACACAGCTTGCATAGGTGGGTTTTGTATCTGGGCTTGAAAACTGGGTGGTCTTGGAGGTGTAGGGTTTTGAATAGGGTTATTATTTTTGTAAGAAAAGTTTGGATGATTCATCCATCTAGGGTTATAGGTGTTTGAAAATGGGTTCCCTTGGGCATAGTTGACCTGGTCTGAATGAGTTTCATTTAACAGATTGAATTTCGCCGATTGGTGTCCTTTGGTTCCACATAATTTGCATTCTATTGAGATTGTTGTTGCAATAGTTGGGTTTGCGTACATATGTTCGACCTTAAGGGCCAAAGTGTCCATTTTGGCTTGCATCATGTTTATAGAGCTTATCTCATGTATTCCTACTTGGGCTTCTTTCTTCTCCACCGTTGCTCGTTCAATCCCCCATTGACAATGGTTTTGAGCCATATCCTCGATGAGAGCGC